ACTTGTAGATGGAGTTATGCCTGAAAGGTCGACATATTCCCATGGCCGTACCGATGACACCAAATTTGACATTGCTGCGACCCCTAATCAACAACACGCCACACCGATTACTGCAACAAAAAGTGCCAGCCCGACAAGAAATTAACACCGCCACAGATATCACCTTGAAATTGCGTAAGAAATCAAACGCTTTTGTCACCCAGAATGGCAGTATGAACTGTCAATTACACGATGACATTTACAAATGACCTTTGCCCTAAGATGGGAACTAGCGACTGTTATGTATGACATGCATGCTTACACAGATCATAATTACATGTAACTTCTCCGGAAATGGGGCCCCTTTCCTACCACATTAATCTTATACAGAAGGGATATACAAAATGTATGCTAATTACACTTTTAAAGAGGGAAGAACTATTTTCAGTACAGTAGGCAGTGTACAGTATTAAATCCTAGCAGTTTCCCATTTATTTCGTTTACAGTGTCGATAAGTTTATCAGCCTTTTTTAAAGTAAAAAAAAAAAGATTTTTGTACACCAGAAAAAATTGAGGTCAACTTCATACCTTACAAATTTCAGTTATGAAACATTAAATTTGATTATTTGGCACGGGAAAAAATCAAAACAAATGAACAGCTTGCCTATCCCTCAGGTGTTATTCTGTGATATGGGATTGGCTGATATGTGTGGGATTCTGTAAAACAAGGTCTTGTTTCTCGCTTACACTAGCTGTAATACAATTACAATGCTAACCCTTCATCTTGGATCATTGTAGGAGTTTGAGCATGTGCTCAATTACAGATGGTCGCTCAATTGTAAATTGTAATCAGGCCCAAAAGTGGAATTTAAAGTTAATGAACATGTACATGATCGGGGCCCACTTGCATAAATCGTCTTAAAGTTAAGGAAAATCTCAAGCAATGTAATTGTCAATGGGAGATCTTAGACTTGAGGAAATCTCAAGAGTTAGGATGTTTTATACAAGGGCCCGGCCGGGCCTTAGTGGAATGTACATTAAATAAAATAGTACATAATCAGGGCTCATAGATAAATGTTAGTGCCAGGAATCAATTTGAAATTCAAGATTGGTTATCAACCTTTCAGATCTATCAAATAATATGGCGATCTTGTTAATTTTCGGAAATATCAGTCTTCCATCCAGTAACAAGTATTCAAAACATTATGATTCAAGTGTTATTTGGTTGAAATGTCTTGATATCATTCTGACAGCTGATTTATTAACTCGGCACATTGTAGCTTAGTGAGTTGTTCTTGCCATATATAGTCAAGACACTGGTTATTTGCACTCTTTGCTTGACGAAGGAAACCGTTGTTTTTGAAAGCTTGCAATTGATTGTTCAGTAAATTGATAAAAAAAGATGTATCTGATATTGATTTGTTCATGACAAATTTATAAAACTAATCTTAAAAAGCATAAAAATTGATAACTAAATTAAATACATGTCAAATTTTGAATCAACTGATGCATCTGATAATTCGTACATCACGTTTTAATGATCAGAAGATGCTGTTTAGCCGACTCCTGGCCTACAGCCTTGTTTTACACGATCCCCTTGGAGCGCATCAGAAGGGCCCCGCCCAGTACTACAACATGTGGCTGATATTCCCCCTATCACTCCAACAAATAACAGTATGCACCTAGGAGGCAGATTACACTTCAAAACACTAAATCTACACTGCCAAATCAGTGTAGGCCTAGCATCACGCTTCAAAACCTCCCAAATGTTCCGACACAAATCAGACTATCTACCGTGATTGTCTCCAATTTTATCACACAATACTTTCCTTGGATTGAAAATAACCAAGCAAGGACATCAATCCTAAACATTGGAATATTGAAAATTCACCGATTGCATGAAAGTTTTCGGATCAATGTACAAAAGGAAGTTGACCAGACTTACAACGCTAGAGAAACCCCAAATCTCACTAACCACCGTTCTTATCGGTGCTCAAACTACATTATGTACCAAGCCAAAATTCTTGGTTCTGTTTATTTACAAACCAGTCGCTCCATAATTTTTCATCTCTGCAATCTATGATAATTTCTTTTTCAACTTTAGAATATTTTCAACACTTTGAGGAAATCAGATTTTTATTTAGTGTTATCTATTTTCTGTAAATATTTTCCTATCGAATCCTGCAACCTAACTGCTATACTTTTGTGCATTCGTTCAAACCAAAGACATAATATAATGTAAATATCCAGCTTTTTTGTAAAAAGTTGAATTGAAATGGTCAGAATACTTCAGATTAACAATACTTGTAAGTGGGTGGGCAATTAAAGATATCAGGAAACAGGTAGGTGGAGGAATGAGTGAATGGGAAATGGAAAGGTGATGGAGGTTGCAAGTGAGTGAAAAAATAAAAATGGAGTAATGAGTGTAAGTCACTGAGTAAGTGAGCTGGGTAATGAGTGTAAGCCACTGAGTAAGTGAGCTGAGTAACGAGTGTAAGCCACTGAGTAATGAGTGTAATCCACTGAGGAAGTGAGCTGGGGAATGAGTGTAAGCCACTGAGTAAGTGAGCTGAGTAACGAGTGTAAGCCACTGAGTAATGAGTGTAATCCACTGAGGAAGTGAGCTGGGGAATGAGTGTAAGCCACTGAGTAAGTGAGCTGAGTAATGAGGGTAAGCCACTGAGTAAGTGAGCTGAGTAATGAGGGTAAGCCACTGAGTAAGAGAGCTGGGTAATGAGTATAAGCCACTGAGTAAGTGAGCTGGGTAATGAGTATAAGCCACTGAGTAAGTGAGCTGGGTAATGAGTGTAAGCCACTGAGTAAGTGAGCTGAGTAATGAGTGTAAGCCACTGAGTAAGTGAGCTGGATAATGAGTATAAACCACTGAGTAAGTGAGCTGAGTAATGAGTGTAAGCCACTGGGTAATGAGTATAAGCCACTGAGTAAGTGAGCTGAGTAATGACTGTAAGCCACTGAGTAAGAGAGCTGAGTAATGACTTTAATCAACTGAGTAAGTGAGCTGTGTAATGAGTGTAATCCCCTGAGTAAGTGAGCTCAGTAATGAGTGTAATTCTCTGAGTAAGTTAGCTGGGTAATGAGTATAAGGCGCTGAGTAAGTGAGCTGAGAAATGAGTGTAAGCCAGTGGGTAATGAGTATAAACCACTGACTAAGTGAGCTGAGTAATGACTTTAATCAACTGAGTAAGTGAGCGGAGTAATGAGTGTAAGACACTGAGTAAGTGAGGTGGATAATGAGTATAAGCCACTGCGTAAGTGAGCTGAGTAATGAGCATAAGCCACTGAGTAATGAGAGAAAGCCACTGAGTAAGAGAGCTGAGTAATGACTGTAAGCCACTGAGTAAGGAGTGTAAGCCACTGAGTAAGGAGTGTAAGCCACTGAGTAATTGAGCTGAGTAATGAGAGTAAGCCACTGAGTACGTGAGCTGGATAATGAGTATAAGCCACTTAGTAAGTGAGCTGAGAAATGAGTGTAAGCCACTGGGAAATGAGAGTAATCCACTGAGTAAGAGAGCTGAGTAATGACTGTAAGCCACTGAGTACGTGAGCTGGATAATGAGTATAAGCCACTGCGTAAGTGAGCTGAGTAATGAGGGTAATCCACTGAGTAAGAGAGCTGGGTAATGAGGGTAAGTCACTGAGTAAGTGAACTGGCCAACGAGTATAAGCCACTGCGTAAGTGAGCTGAGTAATGAGTACAAGCCACTGAGTAAGTAAGCTGGGTAATGAGTATAAGCCACTGAGTAAGTGAGCTGAGTAATGAGTGTAATCCACTGATTAAGAGAGCTGAGTAATGAGTGTAAGTCACTGAGTAAGTGAACTGGGTAATGAGTATAAGCCACTGAGTAAGTGAGCTGAGTAATGAGTATAAGCCACTGAGTAAGTGAGCTGAGTAATGAGTGTAAGCCACTGAGTAAGTGAGCTGGGTAATGAGTGTAACCACTGAGTAAGTGAGCTGAGTAATGAGTGTAATCCACTGAGTAAGTGAGCTGAGTAATGAGTGTAATCCACTGAGTAAGTGAGCTGGGTAATGAGTGTAAGCCACTGAGTAAGTAAGTGAGCTGGGAAGAATAAGTTTAAAAGTAGAGCTATAAGTGTGAACAGTGAAGAATGAGTGAAGAATGGAGAAGAGCTTGTGGGTAAGGGAGAAAATCAGCTAATGCATGAGTAAGGAAATGAATGAGAGTGAGTGAGTGAGTGAGTGAGTGAGTGAGTGAGTGAGTGAGTGAGTGAGAAATTAAGTGACTAAGTGAGCAAGTAAGAAAATGAGCAAGGAAGTAAGTGAGTGAGTGAGAAAATAAGTGAGTGAGTGAGTAAGTGAGCGAGTGAGAAAGAAAGTGAATGAGGAAGTTAGTGAGTGAGTAAGTAAGTAAGTGAGGGAGTGAAAAAGTAAGTGGGTGAGAAAGTAAGTAAGTGGGGGAATGAGTAAGTGGGAAAGTAAGTGAGTGAGTAAGTGGGTGAGAAAGTAAGCGAATGGGTGAGAAAGAATGACTTAGTGGGGAAATGAATGAGAGTAGGAGTAATTGAGTAAAAATGTTAAGTAGTGAGTACATATACATGGATGGAAGAATTGATATTTACTGAGAGTGACTGATAAAACAAATGAAGGAATGGGAAATTTTGTGAGTGATAAAATTTGGATGTGAGTAAACTAGCAAGTGAGTGGAAATTGAGTGTAAGCATGTAAACGTGAACAAGCAAGAAATAGTGAACGAGTGAGTGAATAAGGAAGAGTTTGAAGATATGCAAGTAGAAATTGAGCGAGTAGAAGGAAGAATGAGTGAGTTGGAAATATGGGAATCTGTGGGATTAGGAAGGGAGTTATTGAGTGTGTGAGCAAGTTTGAGTAAGTGAGAGAGAGAAAGTAATTCAGTGGCTAACCAACCACATCAGAGAGTGAGTTAGTCAGGAATTAAAGAAATGAGCAAATGAGTAATTGAGTTAAGGACTAAGCAAGTGATAAACACTATGAACTGGTAGTGCCAGTCATCATTTTGTCTTACCTCTTTACTTGGCACACAGAGTGGGGTCCCTTCCTTGAGGAATCCGTCTTCTATGATAACACCACACACAATAGGGTCACGTGAGTTAAAGATGAACTGGGGTAGAATGCGAACCTTACAAGGAAACACTGCTATATGTCTATAAAGGTCCTGATTTTTCTTTTTGATAGCGTTTCTATAGGCAATGAACTTGTCAAACAAGTTATAAATAATGTCTGCGGTAAATATTGTTACACCTAAATTGTCTGCCATCTCTTGAGCTTCCCTCTCCACCCTCACATCAAATGCAAGAATCGTAGCATACCTGTTGAGAAAAACAACAAAATAAAAAATGATAATTCTGTTATTGATAAGACATTTTAACAATCATTATAAAGTGTCAGTGCAAATATTATTTAACTCATTCACCCCTGAAATTTCATCATTAACTATTCCAACCTTTGAATTGGAAGAGTTCAAATGTGTCTTCAGGGGTGAATGAGTTAAATGGAAATCAATGACCAAAATCTTTCTTACAATTTTCTAAATATAGAAAAGTAGTCTATAAAAAGAAGAAATAAACAATTTTAAACTTTTTTTTTCCTTGTAGAAAATTTTAACAGAAAAGTGCACTGATGATGCAATGGAAAATAATATACACAAACAGATTAAAAAGTGCTAAATAAGATTACTCTTAAACATGTATGTTTACAGAATGATAATAAGTGCATCAAATCACTCCTACAAAAAGGTATCTGGGGTATGTTACTGACTCAAACATAACATGCAGTTCCCAGCCAAAACAACGGACTCTGGGGCATAAAAATGGCCTACAAAGTTTCTAGTGAACAGTAACCTTCCTTGAGTAACCCTTATATCACAAAATCTGTGATTGGTGAAGCTTTTTTTTTAGCAACCTGATACCAGTGTCGTTGTTGACATATACAATGAAAACAGAAATGTATAGGAAAATGATGATAATTATAAAATCCTAGAGTGACCCGACCCTTTGGTTCAGCCACAGAAAATAAAATTGGTCAAACCTTTTTTGAGTGACCCTTCAGCCGAAGTAGCTGGGGTTGGTCAACTCTTTCGTAAGTAACCCTTCAGCCAAAGAAACTGGAGTTGGTCAACTCTTTCTTAAGTAACCCTTCAGCTGAAGAAACTGGGGTTGGTCAACCCTTCAGCCACAGAAAAAGGGGCTTATAAAGTCAGCCAATATTCGGTCAATAAAATCAAATCATTAAACCTACGAAATAAAAGCTTTAATTAAATATAATAAGGAGCCTTTAATAAAAACTACCACAGTTGATGTTTTAGAACTGATGTACTTAATGAGTACTAAGGATATGTGGCTAAAGCTAGCCGCCAAGGGAGGGGGGGGGGACATTCACTGGTAGTGATTCTAGGTTGGACAGGAATTCTCTAAGTACCAGACTTCTGTATTAGCCAGTACAGTCTCTATGACCTCATTCCGAATATTTGTGGTCATCGCTACTCTTACTGGCATTGGGGAGGGAAAGTGGAAGACATTTTAACAAATTCCTTCTGGCCGTAAGGTTACTTAGGTGGAGGTGAACAGGTAGTACCAAAACCACAGAACTACTATAGCAGCCGATAACCAGGAGCATTGACATGGCAAGATGCTTCAGATGTTCTTCAGCAAAACCACAGGGCTACTGTACCAGTGATAACGTGGAAATATTGACATGGCAAGATGCTTCAGATATTCACTAACAACACTGCCAGGTTAGCAATACAAAGCTTAGTTAACACAAATGTCCCTAAGTTGGAATAATTTGAATAATTACCTTAATTCAAGATTAATGGGGGTATTCAATACATCCAAGTAACCACTGTATGCAGGGAAATTTTCACTGCACTTTTGCCTTTCTTTACCCTCCATAATGTGGGCAAATTAATCCTTACAGTGAATATTAGTGAACAAGATAATTTACACTTGCACTAGACAAATATCGATTTTACCGGAGAAAGACAAAAGTTTAACTGGGCAAGGGTTTCCTTGAATACAATATATAGTTATTACCTAATATGACATTAAATAAAATCATCTTTTTAAACATATTACATACCTTTTTTTAATTTTCATGGTAATTTGCCATTTTGAATAAATTAAATATTTTGTGAATCATCTGAAATATTTAGAGACCAACTCTGATTTAGAGATGAAGTAAGTATTTGGTAAACCTGTATTCAGAGTCCACCTTTGAAAAATCTATGAAGTGATCTCTTGCTGCAGGTGGTCTCTTAATACAGCCTTGGTTAACTCATTCACCCCTACCTATCTAAACTGGACCTGCCCAGTCTTTGATTTGGTAGGGTTTAAATGTGACTTTAGGGGTGCATCAGTTAACAATGAAACTTGTTGCAATGGAGAGTTTGAAAGTGGTCTCTTAACACAGGTCATCTCTTGGGCAGGTTTGAGTGCAAGAAATAAAATATCTTTTATTGGATGAAGAACTTTGAGAAAGATACACTTTGGGGTATTCAAAGTTTGTAGTAATGTGACATTGAATGAACATTGAATCAAAGGAATTGACACAAATGTTGTTTAAAACCGTTTCACCACTGTAGACCATCATTAACTCATTCAGATCAATGCATGGTAGAGTCTACTAGAGTTACATAGGGTTGAAAGGGTTAAATATTCACCCTTTGCTGATAAAACCGATATTCACTCAGTTTTAATTTGTCTTTCACAAGTTATTGAAATATAAGTAGTGTATGGTATGTACCAATATTCCTTGCCATGATAAATTCACTCTCATTGGAGAGGTTGAAAAATGCGAAATTTACACTGCAACAAAAAAATCCTGGTATACAGTCTTTTCATAATGTCTAGTGGCTAGATTGATCGCCGACCCGACACTGGGGAAAACTTAGTGTTAGCCATTATGACGACGTCCAACTTCACTATGGGGAAGACTAGTGGTTAGCGGCTAAGTTGACCTCTGACCTCTACAAAGGATACTACGTCCAGTTTTTTTGTGTTCACACAGCTCAAGTAACTTTCGCCCAGATCTCTTCTCGTTTTCCATTTCTGCTCTGTCAGAGTGCCGTTTAGGTTACCAAATCTATTTTGGTCACTTAGTCCACACATGAACTCTTATAACTATATTCCAAGCTTGGTTTGTTTAACATAGCACCCATCACACTGACACTACTGGGTGTTTTTTTTAATTTAGACTGACGTTATCCACATGGGCCACTGCGGCCATATCAGCTGTTCCGTCTGAGCCTAACATTTTTGTGGTCAACCACAAGTCCAGTATCAAACTAAACAGTCTGGTCACTTTGCCAGTCTGGAACTAGTGTGACCGGTCACTGTGAGTGCAGTACAACTAAGGAACTTTTCTGGAGTATGGCTTTCTGAGTATTCTTGTCTCCGATAATGAGTATCTCAGATTTTAATAATGGAGGCCAAATTGTAGCCAGATTTTGGCCCCACTCCAAATGAAGAATAGTGTGATTTTTTCCCAATCAAATTGTTTTCCATTTTTTCTCCTTATGTTTTAGAGGACGATGCAATATCTAATATATAAGAGAAAATAATCTTTCATGAAGTAAATATATATTTGTCTTTTAGATGATACTTTGTGAAGAAATTGATTTTCCTTATAATTCCAAAAGCTCCCAATTAAGTTTACAGCATAACCGTTAATTACAAAGCCACTAGTCCCATTTCCAAAATACTGAAAAAGCGCCTGAGCGCTTTGCTTTTGAAGTATGATGGAATGGGTATTGCCTTCCCACACCATAGCTACTGTTTCTGAAGTATCTGAAGTATCTGAAATATCTAGTTGACTTACTGAGTATCATGCTCCAACATAATAGAAGCCTTCATAATGTCTTTTCTGTGAACTGGTCCAATATTTATGCCGGCATACTGAAATAAAGAGAAATCTGATCAAATTTCAAATCTTAAACATTCCACCCTTGTATTGCTGATATGTATTCAGAAATTATTATAACACAAAGAATGTGAATATTACTGTGAAATCACTCATTTTTGTGGAGTTTCAAATGGGTAATCTTATCTAAGTACATAAAGCAATTCCCCGTTTGAGTAGGTATTCATAATCCACAAATTCATGTAACCATGAAATTTGGGCCCACAAAAATATCTGATTTCGAAGTATATTGTAAGGGTAGATATATATGAATTATTAGGTAGGAATGTACAACCAAATATATTGCAACATTAAACAATATACTAAAATTCTAAATAGCCCAATCCTAATTCGGCACAGTAGTTGTGGTGGGGAAAGTGCTAATATAAATATATATAAGTTTTTCTGTAAAAACTCATTTTGTGGTCACTTATCCTGCAAATTTTGGCGTTATAAAGGGGTTCGTCGATACAACAAGATAGCTGTTAGCAGGCAATATCTGGAGGTCTGTAAGATGTTCATTAACTCATTCAACCCTGAAGACACATTTTAACTCCTTCATTTCAGGGGTGAATGAGTTAAATCTGTTTAACTAAAAAAATACTGCTAACCATGGCCATATCTATACTTACTGGAATATTGGACACTTTAAGAAATTCCAGAAGAGCTTCCAATGAGCCGAGTGTAGAAGCTTGTACAAACACGCCTCGTTCTGAGAGCTTGATGGAGTTTAGAGCCTCTTTGAGTGCTGCAGACAGTTCCTCCTGTAAAAGACAACGTTCAACAAGATTTTGAGTGTTAGTTCAACTGAGCTGTTTGGTACTGCTTGAGTTAACTTAGGACAGTATGAGAGAGATTTCAGCCCTGAAAATCAACACATTTCAAACCTACGGACCTGTAACTTGTGACATTTCACTGGCCCATCTGCCATCTATACTTGCCAAGTCTTCCTATTTTGTTCAGAGACGCCCACTTTTTCAACTTCATTTTATAACTTTTGAAATCACTGGAATTCTCTATATCATACTTTTTGTTCAAACTCAATAATTCATTGCATAAAGTAGCTTAAAATACGGCACTTTATATATTTATGTCAAATACAAATCATTATAAGTCATCTTAGATGCTTTTAGGTTTTGCCATATAGGTTCTCCCAATGAAACATGTCAAAGGTGGCAAGGAAAGAATGGGTGGTTGGGTGGTGCAGTGGATAAGCTTTGGTCTTTCACCAGACAACCAGAGTTCAATTCCCTAATCAGATGTTAAAAAGTATTTATGTCACCTGTCTGTTCATGTTATTTCAGTTTCTCACATTTTAAGACCCTCTGCCTGCTTCCATCCTTGCAAGAGCGATAAATATCAGATGGGAAAACTTGTTTCATAATTGATGGGAATTTAAACTAAGTTTACCAAGAAAGTATGCCCCGTTATCTATAATATCCTAAGCTAGGTTTTTAGTCCTTTATGCTGTCCTGTCTCCTTACACTTCCATTCCACCCCTTACCATTCCATCCACCCTTATGGACATCTCCTTACACTTCCATTCCCCCCCCTTACCATTCCATCCACCCTTCTTGACATCTCCTTACACTCCAATCCAACCCCTTACCATTCCATCCACCCTTCTTGACATCTCCTTACACTCCAATCCAACCCCTTACCATTCCATCCACCCTTCTTGACATCTCCTTACACTCCAATCCACACCATTACCATTCCATCCACCCTTATAGACATCCTCTTACACTCCAATCCACCCCATTACCGTTCCATCCACCCTTATAGACATCCTCTTACACTCCAATCCACCCCATTACCGTTCCATCCACCCTTATAGACATCCTCTTACACTCCAATCCACCCCATTACCGTTCCATCCACCCTTATAGACATCTCCTTACACTCCAATCCACCCCCTTACCATTCCATCCACCCTTATATAAAGACATCTCCTTACACTCCAATCCACCCCCTTACCATTCCATCCACCCTTATAGACCTTTCCCAATATTAGTCCACTTACCACTAATCCTTCACACTCCTTTCTTCCCCTTACACCCTTCCTCCTCTTTATACTCTATCCACCACTTTACATTCATCCCCTCACCCACCTTACACTCTTTTCTTCCCTCTACATTTCACTTTCACACTTATAATTCAAGCTTCCTCCTCCTAAATTTCTCCTTTCTTACATTCTTCTTCCACTTACAATCTACTCCCATTACACTTTCTTCCACTTATTTAAGAGCCTTCCCTCTTACACTCTTTCTATCCTTATACTTTATCCACCACCCCCTACACTCCCTAAACTTCTACACTTACATCCCCCTTATTTTACACATCCTTCCTCCCTTCATAATTTCCACCTCCTTACACTAGCCTTCCTTTCACCTCTTCCTTATTACACTCCCATTGCACTTTTCTCTTCCTCTAATGCTCTTTCTATCCTTATGCTCCACCCCCTTACACTCACCATACTGCTACACTTTCATTCCCCCTCCTTTTACACTTCCTTTCTCCATTTACAATACCTTCCTTTTTAAACCCCGCCTTACTTCCTTACACTTCCCTCCCCTCACATTCTTTCCTCTTCCCCAAAACACTCCCTTATTCTACCTTTCATTTACACTTCACTCCCCTTACATCCTTCCCTCCTCCCTTTTATACTCCCCCTTCACTTCCCTCCCCTTACACCCTTCCCATTACACTCCCAAATACCACCCTTCATTTACACTTCCCTTAAACTACCCTCCCCTTAAACCCTTCCCATTAACACTCCCAAATACCACCCTTCATTTACACTTCCCTTAAACTACCCTCCCCTTACACCCTACCCCTCTCCATTACAATACCCTTCCCTTACACCAATATCTCTCTCCACCGACGCTCTTTCCTCCTCCCCATTACAATACCCCCCCCCCCTTACTCCTTTCCTCCTCTCCATTACAATACCCTCCCCTCACTCCTTTTCTCCTCCCCATTACAATACCCTCCCCTTACACCCTACCTCCTCCCCATTACAATACCCTCCCCTTACACCCTACATCCTCCCCATTACAATACCCTCCCCTTACACCCATACCTCTCTCCTCATTACAATACCCTCCCCTTACACCCTACCTCCTCCCCATTACAATACCCTCCCCTTACCTCTCTGCTCATTACAATACCATCCCCTTACATCTTTTCCTCTTCCCCATTACAATATCCCCTTACACCAATATCTCTCTCCCCTTACACCCTACCTCCTCTCCATTACAATACCCTCCCCTTACACCCATACCTCTCTCCTCATTACAATACCCTCCCCTTACACCCATACCTCTCTCCTCATTGCAATACCCTCCCCTTACATATTTTCCTCCTCCCTATTACAATATCCCCTTACACCCATACCTCTCTCCTCATTACAATACCCTCCCCTTACACCCTACCTCCTCCCCATTACAATACCCTCCCCTTACCTCTCTGCTCATTACAATACCATCCCCTTACATCTTTTCCTCTTCCCCATTACAATATCCCCTTACACCAATATCTCTCTCCCCTTACACCCTACCTCCTCTCCATTACAATACCCTCCCCTTACACCCATACCTCTCTCCTCATTGCAATGCCCGTCCCCTTACACCCTTTCCTCCTCCCCATTACAATACCCTCCCCTCACACCTTTTCCTCCTCCCCATAACAATGCCTGTCCCCTTACACCCTTTCTTTCACCCCATTACAATACCCTCCCCTTACACCAATACCTCTCCCCCCCCCCCCCCNCTCCCCTTACATTATTTCCTCCTCCCCATTACAATACCCCCCCTTTACCTCCTCCCCATTACAATACCCCCAGCTTACCTCCTCCCAATTACAATACCTTCCCCTTACACCCTTTCCCCCTTCCCATTACAATACCCTCCCCTTACACCCATATCTCCCCGCCCATTACAATACCCTCCCCTTACACCCTGTCCTCCTTCCCATTACAATACCCTCCCCTTACACTCATACCTCTCTCCCCGGACTCCCTACCTCCTCCCTATTACAATACCCTCCCCTTACACCCATACCTCTCTCCCCGGACTCCCTACCTCCTCCCAATTGCACTACCCTTCTTTTACACTCCCTCAATTCAATGTTATGATGGCCGTGCTATCATTTGGATTCCATTGCTAATCATGATATTTCTTTGCCCTGATATTTGGTGCTGCCATCGCGAGCAGACATGTTTATCAGGCTACTGACTGCATGTTTAAGCCTATCATTTTTGAAAACAAGGAGCTGGTATGAGCTGTGATCCCTCCTTCACAAGGTTTTAGACCCGAGATAATTGATCTAAGTTTATCATCTCTACCCTGTAATTACCTATGACTGGGGGAACCACCCTTCCTATCTGCTGATAACACAAGCTTCTATGAAAGGCTTCTCAGCCCTGCAGCATAATCTCGTATAAAATCACCTACAAAATCTTCTCCTTTTGCATATGTAACCGAGATAGCATGTTTCTCCGCCATATCTTTTACATATGTTGTTCGCAGGCTTCCTGCAACCATGCTTCCGAAATAATTAACCCATCCATCTTCAATATATAAATCCTGTAGGCCTCAGGTGTGGTAGAATGAATACTGTATATCAGAGAGAAAAAATTGCCCGGTTTCATCGACGAAATTCATATTTCCCTTGTGATACTTTCGCAAGTCTTAGAATATCAAACCATAGATAATAGATCTTGGAGATAGAGATTTGCTTAAGACCTACTGAAATTTTAATCGACTAGACTTTGTTCAAGAAAATTTGACTTATACAGTAAAACCTTGTTATACTTCCACCATTTGCCCAGAGAAATTTTGGCATTATAAAGGGGTTTGACCTAGTGTTTTTATGGTGATTGTCTATTGGTCGACCATTAAGTTTGATCTTTGTTTCAAAGTGGAAGAACTATCTATAGTCTGTTGCTTTCTTTTTTATTTATTAGCCATAATGACGAAATCACCTTCTTTATATATAATGCATGCTGAAAAAGGTGAAAATTAAATTGCAGGAAGTGCACAGAGGTACATGGATGGTTGGAGGTGGGTAACAGAGTACTGTGTGGAGAGATATGAGAATGCATAATGTAGATTTGTTTAAGGATATATCAATGGGGAGGGGTATGTTGGCTGGTAGGATATGTTGGTTTAAGGGATAGGTTGATTGGAGGGGTATTGGCTGAAGGGGTATATTATTTAGAGGGGTAGATTGGTTTGGATGGGTAATGACTGAAGGGGTATTTCAATAGGGGGGTAAATTGGTTTGGGCTGGTATTGGCTGAAGGGGTATATCATTTGGCGGGGAAATTGGTTTGGACGGGTATTGGCTGAAGGGGTATATTTTTTAAAAGGGTAAATTGGTTTGGGCAGGTATTGGCTGAAGGGGTATATCATTTAGAGGGGAAATTGGTTTGTGAGGATCATTATGATGGTTTAGGGGTATATTAGTCCCGAAGGGTTCAATTATGATGTGGTATACAGGGATGGTTGTTGTAGAACATAGCGATGATCGGTTGGTAGGGTATGAGAATGGCTACAGAGGCTGTATTTGATAAGACCTGATAAATGTATTTTGGTGCTGGTAGGTACTCTAGGAGCGGGAATTACCCATTACCAGGGCCCCCACAGTCTTCCTCTTGACTTCATTTCCTGACCCAGAATCCGGTACTGTAGGCCTGTATCTCCTAACAAATCACACTCCCGTGACCCTGGTTTTGTAAATCCTTCGCTACTGTTTAAGTCCT